ACCAAACCAGAAAAGCCCATTTAGAACACGAGAGTGAACGCATTCCTGAGCAACCAAAACACTACCAGTGATAAACCTATCATTAATGAAGGCAGACTGAGGTCCCATAATAATGAACGACAACACTACCTTGAGACATTCCGTAAGTTCTTTAGCAACAATTTTGTAGAGGCTGGAAAGCATACTGATAGGTCTGATATCACCCAAGCTAGCAATAATAGATTTCTTAGGGATAAGGGCTATAAATGTAGAATTGACACCTCTGAACCACTCCCCTCGTCTTAGAAAGCCTCTAACCATTTCCAGGCGCTCACCACTAACCACATTCCAAAATGTATTAAAAAAGATTAAAAGAAATCCGTCCGGACCTAGAGCCTTATCACCTGGTAAGGAAAACACAATTTTTTTAAGTTCTACCATTGAAACCTCCCCTTCCAAAAAGGAAATCAAATATGATGGTAGACTCGAAAATCCACCATATCCAGCCTAGGGGTGACTTTAACCTCAAAAGCAAAAGCTTTTTGGAAATGGCTAATGATAGCCCTAGACATCCCTTCTGTATCCTCAGGATCCACACCCTAGATTACAAGATCAAACATATCATTATGTCTAGTGCGGGCATTGGCCATGACATAGAAGAATTTCGTGTTGTGATCTCATTCTTTCAACCATTTAACACGAGATCGCTGCCTCCAATAGATTTCTTCAACCCTCCTAAGCTCATGTAATTTCTTAAAACACTCATCTCTCTCCACCACCAGCTTTTCTGATAGCACCCAGTAGAATCAACAATAGAATCCACCATAGCAATTTTGCTTAGAGCTTCCTCAATCTCACCTCTAACATTCAGACCACTATTTCTTTTCCACGCCAACAACTTGTGTTCAATATTGAATAATCTCTTATAAAGTTAAAAGTCCATGGAGCCCACCGAAATGGTGTTCTCCCACGTACACTTAATTAGCTCAGCCACATCTTTCTCTTGCAGCCAATCTATCTCCAATCTGAAAGGTGCGGGGCCCTTAGGGATTTTTTTAGTACACAACAAAATATGGGTGTGGTCAGAAGAAAGCCTAGGCAAGACTTTAACCATGGCTAAAGGAAAAGTCTCAGACCACTTACTAGAAATTAAAAATCTATTGGATATATACAAATTCACCAAACTCCCATTAGTCCAAGTAAAGTGGGCACTTGGACATGGTTCTCAATGAAGCGGTGAAAAAGACGCATAGAATGCGTAACAACACCGCCATATTTACTTTCATCTGGCCATCTAGTAAAATTAAAATCCCCCCCAGACAAATCGGATAATCAAAAGACCGAATAGCATTTGACATTTCATCAACAAAAATTTCTTTCAGTGCACAAGTATGAGGACCATAAACATTCATCAGACCCTATTTAAAAGCAGAATGAGGGGCAAGAAAACCCACAAATAGAAAGTTTGATTGTTTCACCACATAAAAAGACTGCAGAACTGTAGGATCCCAAAGGATCTACAGTTCCCCCGAAGCACCGACAACATCAATTCCCACAGAGTCAACCGAACCAAGACCCCAAACTTCCCTGACCTTAGAAAGCGTAGGACATGGAAGTTTAGTTTCCTACAAAATTAAAACAGTCGGTCTAATTTTAGACACCACAAACTTAACATCTTTTTTGGGTTTTAGGTCACCTAGACCTCATACATTCCAAGAATTAAAATTCATCAGAAAGGGGGAGAAGAGGATGAACCTGACCCATCCTTATGAGAACCAAAGTAAGCTTCTTCCAGCGACATAGTTTCTTCAAGGCTTTCCCCCAGGAATCCATCTTCAACCGAAGAATCAGAGTTATTCTCAATCACTGGATCGTTTGCAATTACCACACGTCGCATTGAAGCATTCAGGGGCATACGTCCACGAGCCTGCAGAAGAGCCAAAGACCAAGTACCTATAACAGTCCCTCTTCCTTTAGCTTTAGCAGCTGTTGCTTGAGGAGTCTTAGGCGCCGCCTTCTCTGACTGCAAGCCAACTCCTTTCTCCTTTTCATATTGTTTCAGCTTTTCCTGTGCTATGGCTTCAAGCTTCTCTAATTTATTGTTTGAGATAATTTCCTAAAAAACCACACCAATTGGTGTATTGAATCCATACCACAATCAAAGGCCAATTTGTGGACATCTGGGTCAATGGGGGCCTCCTTCACAACAATTTCATCGACACTCATTTCCTTTACAGCAACCACATCAACACTCACTTCCTTCGGAGGCTCAAAAGTAAAGTGACGCAGCAAAGGGCGTTGTTCCAGGGAAATAGTGCTGATGGGTGGGTGTTGATCCGAAGTCACCAAAGCCATGTTCAAATCATCCTCCAAAACCATCACAGTATCTCCTAGGTCATCCATAGCATCCTGAGCCATTTCGCGCGCAGCCAGCACATTATCATCCTCCTCAATCACCACTATAGTCAAAGGGTCAACATCTAATGGATCAAAAGAAGGCCTCGGAGATATCACCCTTAACCACTGATGCTAAACCCATTCCCTATTATAGAAGGTTGTCTCGATGCTAGAAAACCATCGATTTGATATCTCAGTCTTAGGATCCATGATATGAAAAAAATAAAAAGCATTTTCAGTCCTTGAAATAACGCATCTTATAATGCATGATCCAGACCGTCTATTTTCAAGTATTTATAAGTCAGCTTGATCTGCATCATTTTTTAGCTTTAAATTAATAATTATATGTGGAAATAGATTTTTAAACCTCACAATGATTTTCAACACCAAAACTGTGTCTTCTGGATAGTTTAGATGTGTATTATTATTTTGATTGTTCAAGGTTGATGCATTATATAACCACACCTTTTAACTTATTGAGAAAAAATTGGGCAACTTACTTTTCTATAGGGAATTTTATCAGAGAACCTATAAGAGTTGAATTATTTAACACTTCACTCATTTACAACTATTCTAAGCCATGATTATCTATCTTTTGATGGGCATTTTAAAATTAAATCAAAATATATGAGTAGAGTGTTAAATAATTCATCTCTCATGGATACCTAGATAAATTTCTTTGTTCCTTATGTGATTTTTATTATTGAGAGAGTAGATCTTGACTTTGTTTGTTAAACAAATTGACAATTGAAAATTTGGAGAGCTGAATTGGAACGGCCTAAGTCAGACTTAGGGGGTTCTTGGATTTGGATGGTTCCAAATTATGGGAATGCTTCCAGTCACGTAGAACCGGGCAATTAATTTTTTAATAGTGAATCACTCACTTCATTGCAAATCTACAAAGGACTTGTGCAATTCTTGAGTCTGGAGCAATTATATTTCTTCTTCTTTTTGCTATTTTAGGGCTGACAGCTCGGAATCGACGAGACGATCCGCTCCCAAGTGTCTAAGTTTCTGGGTGTTTAAAGATAGACGAAAAGAATAGGTTGGGGCCCCGGTGGTTTGGGAGGTAGAGCTTTAACATAATATGCCACCCTAAAACACTTTGGCCTAAACCCCTCTCTTTTAAAAACATTAGTACTTCCTACTCCCATAAAAATTCTAATCCATGGTCCTTACTTTCCTTCCCTGATGTGCCTTCACAAAACCAAGTCATCCCTTGCAAATATAACAAAGCCTCAAAATTTATCGTGATTTTCTTGAGTATAAACATATTGTTCTCTTCAATTAGACATAGGGAAAATATATATTAACTGGCGTTTGTAAAATGTCGATTTGGATCAGAATTGGATGATTTGGATCATGTATTAGTGGAACCAATTTGGCTCATGTCAGAGCCGGTTCCCCATATGTTTTTTATTTTTTTACTATTTTTTATTAGCCACTTCTCTCAAGTTGAGAACCTTGTACAAGTAAGGCATTGTTTACTCCCTTATGTAAACTCCAATGCAAGAGTGTGTGTCTCTATATAGATACTATGAGACTCTCCCACACCCATGTGAGTAGGACCCCAAAGGATCATCATTAGTTTTTGACAAGGATCTCTTAAAAACCCATTCACTCATGTGATAATTTTTCTAGAGATCTGTGTGAAAATTTAATGGTGATCCTTTGGAGTTCTACTCACATGAGTGTGGAAGGTCTCATAGTATCATTACTCTCATATATATATAATTTTGAGAATATAACCTACCTCAATTAAAAAAGAAAAAAATTCAAATCACACTTTCCATGCACTTGAAATGAATAATGTCTCAAGATTGAACATATACCATCTAATTTTTAGAGTGTGAGATCTAAATGGTGGAGAACTCAGAATTCAAAATTTCTCTTTTGTAAGACTCATCTAGTGATTCTTAGGTAATTCCCAAATTTTTAGATTGAAAAAGTCCTTGCAAGTAGGTCTTTTGCCCGAAAGAGTACGAAATAATATATTCATGAGGAAGTATCTTATACATGCTCTATAATTAAAGTGCCATAAGTTGTTTAGACTCCAAAGTTTCCAACCATGAGTAAGAGCAATTTGCAAATATTTAGATATTCTTTGAGGAAATACTCAAGTGAACTGAAAATTAAAAGTTAAACCTCTCGTGTTAATAACAATGGAGACAATTTTGAAAGGGGATTTGACCACTTAAACGATCAAGCCTTGTTGGGATCCCTATTTTTTTTTTGAAAAAAAACTATTTCATACGACATATATTTCTTGTGAAAAGTATTTTTTTTGTAAATTATTGTTTAGAGTCTTTAGACAACATTTATATGCAACTTAGAAGATAAATTTCTACCTGGAAAATGGATTAAATGCAAGGGATCTCTACTGAGAAGAACATGGAGCATATATAGATAGATAGAAAGAAATAGCTAGCAGAAGATGAAAGTGGAAAGAGTTTTATGTATTCAACTCTATAAGAAAATTTAAGGAAGAAATTAATATTTAGCATTTGGAGAGGAAAATGGAAACGCGTAAGTCATTCTTTGGTCATTACAAAAAAGTTGAGGTTCCCACAATGCACTCTCACTTCTCTCTTCCACCGCCTAACCAGAAAAACCTCTCCTTTAAATTCACCCTTGAAAATGGAGCTTCTCTTCTCAATTTAGTGGCGATTTTTAGGGTTCCTTTCTCCAAATTTGGTGGCGATTTCTGGGGTTACACAGGCACTCAAGCACCCGGTCCGTATGTTGTGACCAGAAGCTTCAGCCATGGCTGAAATTAAGAAGCTTCTGGACCTTCTTACTGAAGAAAATGCCATGGTCGATCTCTCTCAGAGGTTGCGATCGGATAATGCAAAATTAGGGTTATCGGAGTTGGCGTCCATCATAGAACAATCCATTAAAGAGAATGATGATGGAAAATTGGTGTTTCAGATATGGAATGAGTCACAGATTGAATCCCTTTTGTCAGTTTTAAGTTATGTTGTATATACTACTCGCTCACTTACAGGTAACGGATTTATCGGCCATTGTGATCTGATTTCCCCAAAATTGATTCATTTTCTTGTAAATTTAGTTGTATGAGTTCAATTCTCCAATAGTCTCTTTATTGGGCGTAGGACATGTTTTATCTTTCATATATTTGGATTTAGAGTTTATTTTGATTTTTTTTGTGATTCTTTGCTCAGTTGAAGCTGCAGAATCAGCACTTGTTAGGGTTTTTGAGAGCTCTGTGGAGTTCTGCATTTATTACGTTGAGAAATGTGGACTTAATGGTGATCATGGGGCTGACTTACAGGTTAGTTATTATTTAACTTTATTCATGATTTATTTTACAGTAATCTAGTTTAACTTCTTAGTTTTTTATTTCAAGTAATCTTCTAATTTATTTGATAATTATAATTATTTCTAGTTACTTCTCATGTATAAATTTCAATTATTTCCTTTTTAATATATAAATATTTCCTTCTTTTTTTATGTGTATCATGGTTCTGGATTTTTTGGATCACTGAGGAATATATTTGTTTATATTGAATTCTTGGACACTCCTTTTTCTTTTTTTTCCCTTTCCCTGAATCAGGAGAAATCTTCTTTGTTAAATCACTAGTGCTTATAAGTTATAGAATGCACTGGAATGGCCTCCAAACTTAGTAAAATATCTGAATGTCTCCAAAGTAATTGATTGAATGTCTGGATTAGCTGAGGAAATGTTTCAATATCCATCTCTTATTTCTTTTTGAAGAGAAATCAAAGTTGGCGCTATCTTAGGCATGCAATTTAGGACTAGTGCGATTTTAGGAATTGGGACTTCACATGGGGGTCACAATGTGATTGTCATATCCGAGAGATAGGGGCTTTACTATTTTGAGTGTCTCCAATGAGAACTCTACATCTGGACGAGAAACATTTTTAAGAAAATCATAAGTAAAAAAATAAAATAAAAATATTATCAATTGATATCTTTGTCATGTTGCTTGGAATTTTGCTTACATTTGTGTTTCTGTTAAATAATTTAGTTTAGTTTTGCACCCAAACACTTGTATACATCTGATTCTCTGAACATGATATCGTAGTATGCTTACTGGTCTTGCTTATTGGTGGGAACTTCATCCTGAATTTAGTTCTTTTTAGCTTCTTTTGATTTTTAAGAGGATGCCTACATCATGAATAAATAGGCCACTGCATCTGTGAGGTGAGGGTCAGATTTCCAAATGGAGCTGCAATAATTCCCAAGGATTCTGCAATCAAAATTGACGTTCGGAGTGTCCTTTTTTTGGCTTGCTCGACTGCACCTTAGGTCCAAGTCTCATCACTTTCATAGAAGCTAGCTTTTTCTAGTATTGATTAATTCCTCCCCCCAAAATAGCATAGTTCTATTGATTACCAAACACTAAAAGGTTCATCATCAGCATCATAGTTTCCAACTTCTCAATTCGTATATTATGTGAGGCTAAGGAGATTACAGACCTTCTTTTCATTCATTTCACATTTGCTAGAAGGTTACACATTTCTTAGGTGATTCTATCGTCCAGTGTTTCAAAAAGTGCTAGGCGGCTGGGGGTGTCCAGGCCGCCTAGCGCCTGGGTGGGCGCCCAGAACCTGGGCAGCCTTGTAGAAAGAAAAATATCTCTATAGTCTAACGTTATAAGTAAAACTGTATAATACATAAGAATTAGGGATTTAGGGCACCTCAAATGTATAGTACACAAGTCCACATAGCACATGCTCCTCCATACTCTATAACCATAAGTCCATATAAAAAAAGTCACTAACTTTGATTGCTCGATCTCCAAACTTCCTCCTCTAAGATGTTTCTAAGGACTCAAAATCTTCAAAAAAATTCTCTAATAGATTTATAAAACCTCCAAAATTAAATCTAATATCAATGGATGATGCTTAAATCAATTTCTCGTAACTTTGAGAAACCCTTAGATCCTATGGAAATCACCTAAAACTAGTTTTTTTTGGGTTTTTCTCTCTAAAATAGACTCTAATGGGTTTTAGGTTTCAAATGAATCTAAAACCCATAATTTTGCCTCTTTAGTATTAAAAAAAAATGACCAAAAAATGCCTTCTACGAGGGTCATTTCTGCCCCTGGGTGGGGTGCATGCCTGGATGGGTGGCCGCCTAGGCATCGCCCAGGCGTTTTGGACCGCCTTGCCTTTCGCCCAGGCCTTGGGCAGTTCGCTTTTTAAATCACTGCTATTGTCAATGATACCTCTTTGATGTGGTCTGTGTTATCGTTGTTCAAGGGAGATGGTGTTGCCTTTGGATATTTCCATTTAGTGGTTATGGCAGGATGATGATCTTCTTTGCATAGAGTTCATCTTTGGAGCAAGGAGGGGGGTGGAAAAATATATAAATTTCTAAAGTGACCAAAGGGTTGCTATTGGGGCATAATATTATGACCAGGCAGGTGAACGAAGTGCAAATTTCCTTGAAGTAAGGACAAGGATATAATCTTAAGTAAGGACAAGGATATAATCTTTAGAGGTGCGAAATCCATTAGTGGGGTCATTAAAGAGAGAAGAAAGATATTTGTCCTCTCCTTTACATTTCAAAGAAGAGTTTAGCGGCATTGAGGTCATTGACTTGGTTTGAGAAGTAGGATATCACTAAGTAAAGCTTTGAAATCCAAGCCAAATGCTTTGTAGTGGTATCCATGACTGAGGATCAGGAATGCTGAAGTTAAAATCTGCCCAGGTTCGCTCAAAGACCCCTGCGTCTCAAGTGTGAGAGGGTTGATCACGAACTGTGGGGTTTTGGGATTTATGGTGTATTTGCAATCCTCGTGGCATGAAGGTTCTGTTGAAGCAGAAGTTAATAGTCCTTTTACCGGATTTGGGCCATACACTTCTAGTACCCTCATTTGTTGAATATTATTGTTTCATATCCAGCCATAAACAGTCTTTCACTATCATAGTTACGGAGAGAATCTCAGGGCATATATGGTGCTACTCCATTGTGTATGCTGTAATTTACCCGATCGAGAGAAGGGAGCTATGGGAGCACCTCAGAGCCTTGGCACAGCAAAACAACCTACCATTGGTTGTAATTGGGGATTTTAGTGGCTGCAATTGAGGAAAAAAAAGAGGGATTCATTCGGATTTGAAAAATCAAATCAATTAATTCGTATTTCCTTTTCTCGTCTCTATGAATGACTGGATTGGAAGAACAGACGCAGATGGGGTGAGGTGAGAGGCAGCAGCAGTGGAGGATAGCGGACACATTTTAGGAGATTTTGAGGTTTGTAGTGTCCTGTCACAATCCCTACATATGCGAATGGTGTATCTAATTGCATAGCTTTATTGCAGTTGGCCAGAGACATTGTAATTTGAGGGAAATCCATCTCAACTACTCAGCTGTACCAATTGTGAAATGAGGTGTTAGTTGATGTAATTCATTTGTATCTGTGCCTTTTTGCTTAATAATGAAATTTTTTATTAATAAGGAAAATGATCCTTTAAGTCTAAAATGGTTTCCACAAATGAGATAATTGGATTCGGAATATTGTTCGAACAAGGAGGTTGGGATTAACCGCATGACTAAGCGATAACACTCAGCAGGTTAGTTACAGTTCATAAGAAACAAAATGTTCCACGTGTGCCACATACAAAACAAGGAAAAGAAAAAAAAAAAACAAAACAAAGAAAAATATGAGAGAAGTAATGGGTCAAGAAGCTAGGATTAATGAGAGTGGGATTTTTTGTTTTAGGCAACTTTGGACCGATGTAGGGAATGTTATGAATTCTCAAGATCATGAAAATGTTTGGTGAAGATACAGGGGGTTTATGATCCTGCTCTGTTGAGTCTATGGTATCTACAAGCAAAAGAAAAGCATATCCATGGCCTTTCCGAGGCTGTAAGGTCCATGAAATGCCTGGAAATCTGGAGAATATGAAACCGACTAAATCTCTAAAGCTTGGTCCTCAATTAGTTGGAGCACTTGGGGAATGTCTGTGGGAGGAGTGAGCGGGAACAGCAAGATCAGATACCATGAAGTGAAGTCCTTCTCAATAGAAATTTGCTTCATGTAAACTTTCTAGGTGTTTTTTGTAAATTTTATTATGATTGATGTTCTCATCTTTATGAGGCCTTCAAATGCAACATAGATTCCATTACTCATCTTGTTTTGTTTATATCTCAGGCATCATCTCTTTTTCAGTTGTAAAAACAAAAACAGTTGGGCTGCATTTCTAGGCCATCTACATCAACTCAGCTTCTTTCTTATGTCAACCTCTGAGTTTTCATGCTTTCTCCTTTTCTCTAAATCAAAACTGAAATGATAATGCCGGTGTCTATTACTAGGCTATCACTGACGAGTTTTTCTTTATTGACCATTTTTCAAGTTTTATGCTTCTCTTCATTTCTGTTTTTGGCTGTGTATTTGCAGAAAACTGTTATACACCTGCTGGAAATAGCTCTACTTGATAAAGTAGATACAGATTTAGATTCAGTGAAGTTAGATTCTCCGGCTGTTCTTATGGATTGCTTGCCAGTCATCCCTGCTAATTCAAGCAGGGTGAAACAGGACAGATACATGAAGTGTACCCTGCGAGGTAGTAAGTTTAGTGCAAACTGTGTAATTTGTTGTTTTGTGCTTTTGTTCCCTGGCCTTGCCCCCCCCGGGCCTTAACGTGCTTTTATCTCATTCATTACTTCTGGCTTCATGCTTTGCTCGCTAATTTTACCAGACCATCCATCATTTGCTGACTTCTCCCTTCTTGTGTCAATTTAGGGATCAATTGTTCAGTGAAAGCTGAGCCAGTGGACACAGCTATGCTTGCTTTAGCTTCTGAGTATCTTCCAGCGAATAGGCAGGTTTCCCTCTCAACTGAAGATGTGCCCCATCAAGACTGGAATAGCATGATATCTCTTTCACAGCATTGGGCAGTTGTTCATGGGAAGTGCATACCTCGCCTGATTAATATATGCAAAGAGCTGTTAAAGCCCTCACAGCTCTCTGATGAACACAATGGAGATTCACATTTTCAGTCAATAGTAATACTTTCTAAAAGAATTCTATCATTAGTTGCAAGGCTTACAAGGGAAGCTCCATATGTTGCTTCTGATGTCGAGTTGTTACTTCAAGCAGCAGCCTTGGCTGAATTATTGCCTGAGTTGTTTAAACACAGGCACGACCCTCTCAACTTTGATTCTTGTGCTGAGGAGAAAAGAATTGAGCATCACCTTATGGTACTAATGGAGGACTTCTTTCATTTTGTTGAAGCTGTTTTTCATAGTGACAACATCTTCCTCAATATAAAGACATGTATTTCTGCTTCTATGTTGAACATCTTGGATACCCAAGTATGGAGTTATGACAAACACAGTTCCATTCAAAAGCCTCCATTGGTTTTTGCACCTCAGGTTATCATGTATCTCTTGAAGCTCATTGGAGAAGTGCGTACTCAGACATGTCAGGTGCTTAGTTGGAAGCAGAAATCTGATATAAACTCCGTTGAAAATTTCATGAATTCAGAGATTGGTGTTGCTCCTTCCTTTAATATTAGCTCCGAGAAAGTTTCTTTGGTTGAAAGATATACCAGTGAACAGCTTCTTAGGCTTATTTTTCCTATCGGAGGTCACTGGCTTGATGATTTAATACATCTTGCCTCTTTTCTTCATTCACAAGGGGTGAAATATAAGGTGAAAAATGACAGATTGCGCCAAGTTCGTGCAAAGAGTCCTGCTCCTTCTGACAAGGATCCTGCAGTCAGTCATGAAGATGATGCTTTGTTTGGGGACCTTTTTTGTGAACCTGGCCGTCAGGGTGGGATGACTGATACTCGTGATCAACCACCTGTTGCCTCTGATATGATAAATATTGGCACCAACATACCCCTTCAAGGTGCTATTGAGCTACTGACTTTTCTTAAAAGCTCCATCTTTTCCCCTGAATGGGATAGTTCTGTTTGCAAGGAAGCATGCGTGATGCTTCATGAGAGGCATATAAGCATCTTACTTTCCATGCTCCAGTTCCAAGTTTGCCTGTTTGACGAAGGGATACCCAATAGTGCAGTTTCGGCATGCCAGAAACAGCTCGGGCATGTTTCTGATGTAAGCTTTGACCTATTGTACAGCCTCCTTGCACGCAGAGCTTTATCCAGGTGCCTTGAAGAACACCTTGCTAGCCAAATTCTCAAGGTAGAGAAGGGACACTTTGTCTATAATGACTATACTCTTGTTTTGTTAGCTCACGCTATGATTTCTAGGGTTGGTCTTAGTGGGAGACTTTTTAGAATCAAAGTTTTTGAAGCATATATTGATTTCATTCTTGAAAAGGCAAATGATGTGTGCTCAAATTGCCCCAGTCTTGGAGATACATTTGCAGGTCTCCCTTCTCTTTTCCACTTTGAAATTCTTCTTATGGCTTTCCACTCGTCCTCGGTTTCGGAGAAAGTTTCCTTTGCAAAGAGGGTGTTTGATGCTCTTCAGGCAGTAAGCCATACTCCAGCTGAATTCAGCTGCACACTATTGACAGCTTGGTCTTTGCTAGTATCACGGTTGATTTTGATTCTGCGTCATATGATCTATTACCCATCAACATTTCCTTCGTGGCTTCTTTCACATATTCGAACCAAGTTGAGGGAAGTGCCATCTCGAGGAAGCTCTTCTGGGATTGTAAATGATCGTTTACTATCATGGGTATCCACTACCATACAAAGTATCATGGCTGTATGGGTTAAAGATCGACCAGTACTCGGTAATTTGCTTCCTCTATTGATAGATGTTGTTCCTGTTCCTAATTCAGCTTCTTTAGATGGCCAAGTCCTTCAAGATCTAGGTCTGAATCAGGATGATGTACATGATGCCTTCTCACAAATATTAGGATTGTGGAAAGGTAAGAAAGCTGAAGCAGTGGAAGACCTCGTTCTTGAAAGGTACTGTTTTCTACTTTGTTGGGATACACTATCTTGTATTAGGTCTCCATCAGTGAGAGTTGACACTTGGAGCCTTGATTTGGGAAGAATGGATTCTTTCATTCAATTCAGCCATTTCCTGGTAAGCAAGGCTGATGTTACCAGCTATATTGGTAGTGGAAACTTCACAGAAGTTGTCACCAGTGTCCTTCAACAGCTTAGTATTACCCATGAACCATTTCAAGTTAAAGAGAGAACTTGGGACTTTTTAAGGGATGGAGCTTGGCTCTCTCTGATTCTTTCTTTGCTTCAAGTTGGCATCGGGAGGTTTTCTGAAAAGGATGCATTGCAAGGACTGGAATCATGTTGGGTGGAAGATATACACGGGGGCAACTATTTCTTGTCGATCGCTGAAAGTGTTGTGGTTGCTTTGTTTCAAAATAACCAGGTTGGATCCGTGATTGAGTGGCTTTCAGTTCTATTGCATAGATATTTGCACGCCCTTCAAGAGGCATTTGTTATGGCCCTTGATCGCCAGGAATGTGAGGTGGGCTTGTTTTCTTCATCGCTTCTTCTCATACAATCTGGATGTGAACAATGCCCTGAGGCTGAGCTGCTGGAGAAAATTGGAGCCAGCCCTGCCCTGCTAGAATATCTGTATGGTCTTGGGTCAAAATTGAATGAGCTTGTTGAGAGAGAAGATTTAGAGAACCTGAGTCGAGCGTTCCGCAGATCCTTGTTGCATGGTTTTCCTTCACATTTACAAACTAATAGTGGGGCTCTTCTTTCTTGTATTGTCTCTGTGGAAGGGATAATCTGCACATTCGAGAGCTTAATCAAGGTCAAAGATTCTACAGGGGCTATACATATAGACGATGATGTGCTGCTCCGTCTTCTTGATTCAGTCATGATGGTTAAACTTGGAAGGATTTTTGAACATATACATGGAAAGCTTGATGTTATATACAGCTACTTCTTCCCATCTGAGAAAGGGAACTTGGATCATAGTGTGTTGTTCTTACTGAAGCACATGGAAAATTTTCTCAAGGAAGTGGTTTCCAGAGAGAAAATAAACTTGGGTGTTCTTGAAGTTCTAATAAAAAATACTGTTGATTTGGTTGACCGCATCAGGAAAGACCCAGCTAAAGTTGACAGTCTAAAATGCTATTTGGGCATCAACAATGACAAGAATAAAGAGGCCAAGAAGCTTTACCCTATACAGAATGGCAATCTATTGGTTCTTTTGGATGTCTTGGATACTTGTCACACTGAAGCAGTGAGTATGAAGATTCTGCAATTGTTTAATGATCTTTTGTCTGGAGAGCTTTGTTGTAGCCTTAAAGTGGAAGCACAAAAGAAATTCTTGGGAATGGATTTGGCATGTTTATCCAAATGGCTTGAAAAGAAGTTGTTGGGATGCATGATTGAAACTTCAGGAGGAGTTTCGACAGCCAAAGGAAGCCCTGTTGCACTCAGAGAACTGACTCTGAATGTCATAATCTGCCTTGTATCACCATCTTCTGAGATTAATTCGAAAGAACTTCGTCTTCACTTTGTTGAAGCAATGCTTATGTCCCTAGAGGATGCGTTCATGCAATTTGACATTCATACAGCCAAGGCTTATTTCAATTCTATCTTTCAGCTCTGTAATGGAGATTCTTCAATGAGGCATCTTGTGGAGAAAACTGTGAGGCTGATGGACAAATTTTTGTGTGATGAACGATTCCTGGAAGGCTTAAAATTTCTTTTTGGTTTTCTCTGGAGTATCCTAAGTGCATGTGGAGCTAATAAAGGCACTGGGGATAAGTTTTCAGGTAAGCATTGGTCGAGCAGTAGTTCTGGAGCTGCATCCACTATTCCTAGAACAGTTGGCAGTGTCTCAAGCCAAGGTTCAGAGACATTGGTTCTTCCCTCAAGTCAGGAGTCTGGTTCTGCTACGGTTGACTGCGATGCAACTTCAGTTGATGAAGATGAAGATGATGGTACATCAGACGGGGAATTGGCTAGTGTGGACAAGGATGATGATGATGATAGTAACAATGAAAGGGCCCTTGCATCTAAAGTTTGCACATTCACTTCAAGCGGCAGCAACTTCATGGAGCAACACTGGTATTTTTGTTACACATGTGATCTAACTGTTTCCAAAGGTTGCTGTTCTGTTTGTGCAAGGGTGTGCCATCGAGGTCACCGTGTTGTCTATTCTCGCTCGAGTCGTTTCTTTTGTGATTGTGGGGCAGGTGGTGTTAGAGGAAGCAGCTGCCAGTGCTTGAAGCCTCGTAAATATACTCCTTCCAATAGCGCTCCAGTTCGAGCTACAAATAATTTTCAGCCATTCCTTTCTTTCTCTGAAGATGGAGAATTACCTCCTGATAGTGATTCAGATTTTGATGAAGATGGGCTTGCAGACATTGAGAGCTCTTTCAAATTATCCATCCCAAAGGAGGAACAAGAAGGACTTGCACGCTTGCTGATGAATGTTGATGTTGAGAGTCTGCTTATTCAGCTTTGCAGTAGATTACTACCAGCTGTAACAGGCAGAAGAGAGTGTAATCTCTCAAAAGATCAGAAAGTGGTATTGGGGGATGATAGGATTTTGTCATACAACACTGATCTTTTGCAACTGAAAAAGGCATACAAAAGTGGATCATTGGATATGAAGATCAAGGCAGAATATTCAAATGCAAGGGAACTGAAAACCCATCTGGTTAATGGTTCCCTAATCAAATCTTTGCTCAGTGTTAGCAGGCGTGGCAGACTTGCTGCTGGGGAGGGTGACAAAGTTGCAATTTTTGATGTGGGGCAGCTAATTGGACAGCCATCAGTTGCACCCATAACAGCAGATAAGACCAATGTGAAGCCTCTTTCAAAAAACATTGTTCGCTTTGAGATAGTTCATATTCTTTTCAACCCCTTGGTAGAAAATTATCTTGCTGTTGCAGGTTATGAAGAATGCCAAGTCCTTACTGTTAATCACCGTGGGGAAGTGACTGATCGTCTTGCTGTTGAACTTGCTTCTCAAGGTGCTTATATTCGGCGGATAGATTGGGTTCCTGGTTCTCAAGTGCAACTGATGGGGATCACTAACACTTTTGTCAAGATCTATGATCTGTCTCAAGATAATATAAGTCCCATGCATTACTTCACCTTGGATGATGATCTGATTGTGGATGCGACACTTGTTACTGCACCTCAGGGGAAAATATTTCTTCTTGTTCTCTCAGAACTTGGTCGCTTATTCAGGCTTGAATTGTCTATGGGAGGTGACGTGGGGGCTAAACAAATGACTGATATCATCGAACTTGATAAAGCTCCACATTCGAGAGGTCTTTCTTTGTACTTCTCATCAACCTTCCGATTCCTTTTCTTGTCCTATCAGGATGGTACTACCTTGATTGGCCGCCTGGATGCCAATGCAAAGACTCTTACTGAAATATCTGCCATTTATGGGGATGAGCAGGATGGTAAATTGAGGCCTGCTGGGCTGCACCATTGGAAAGAGATGCTTGATGGTAGTGGTTTCTTTGTTTGCTTCTCTTCTCTAAAGTTGAATTCGATACTTGCTGTATCTATAGGAGTCCATGAGTTACTAGCACAAAACTTGCGACATACTGGAGGAAGCTCATCACTATCTCTTGTTGGTATAGCCGCATACAGGCCTTTATCGAAGGACAGAACCCACTGCCTTGTTCTATATGATGATGGAAGCCTGCAGATATATTCAGCTAATTCTTTGGGATCCAATTCTGGATCGAATTTGACCTCAGATCATGCCAAAAAATTAGGATCTGGAATCCTCAGCAGCAGAGTATGTTCTGGTTCCAATCCAGAGTTCCCTCTCGACTTCTTTGAGAAAACTGTTTGCATTTCACCTGATGTGAAGTTGGGAGGTGATGCCATTAGAAATGGTGATTCAGAGAGTGCTAAGCAAAATTTGGTATCGGATGATGGCTATCTAGAAAGTCCCAGCGCTTCTGGTTTTAAGGTTAGAGTCTTATATCAAAACTCACAAACTGAGACTTCTTTCAGATGAGTTGGTGCTAATTACTTTTTTTTATTTAGGAAATTGTATACGTGTCTGTTTTTTTTTAAAATAGAATATGGGTGTCCTAATACTTGATGACCCGCTTGCTTTGTTTTGCAGATAATCGTCTTCAATTCAAATCCTGATATTGCCATGGTTGGTTTCCGTATACATGTCGGAAATACTTCAGCAAGTCATATTCCTTCTGAGATCACCATTTTCCAGAGAGTTATTAAACTGGATGAGGGTATGCGTTCATGGTATGACATCCCATTCACTACTGCTGAAGCACTTTTGGCTGATGAAGAATTTACAATCTCTGTTGGCCCGACCTTTAATGGCTCTACTTTACCCAGAATAGATTCTTTAGAAGTTTATGGTCGACTTAAGGATGACTTCGGTTGGAAGGAAAAAATGGATGCTGTTTTAGACATGGAGGCCCATGTACTCGGTGCCACATCTGGGGTTTCTGGGCATGGAAAGAAGTATCGGCCATTGCAAGCTGTTTCATTGCAAGAACAGGTTATAGCAGATGGACTTAAGCTCCTATCTGCATATTATTCCTTGTTTAGGTCTCAGGCATGCGCTGAAATTGAGGATGCAAAGATAGAATCCTGTAAACTGAAATGCAAGAAGCTATTGGAAACAATATTTGAAAATGACAGGGAGATTATGTTACAATGTGCTGCCTGCCATGTTCTTCAGACGTTGTTCCCAAAAAAGGAGATGTACTATCAGGTATGCATCTCTGTGAGGCTTCGATTAGCAAAGACTTTGAAAATATCATTTTAGCAATGTTAATTATGATTTTTTTTCTCAGGTCAAAGATGCTATGCGTCTTCTTGGTGTTGTAAGTGCTTCGCCAGTCCTTGTCTCAAGGATAGGAATTGGTGGAGCAACAGCTGGATGGGTAATTCAAGAGTTTACAGCCCAAATGAGAGCTGTGTCTAGGATTGCTTTGCATCGTAGATTGAATTTTGCTGCTTTTCTGGAAACTCATGGTAAGTCCTTGAAATTGCTTCACTTGAAATTTCAAATTATATTTGCTGTAATATCACGAAGAAAAGCCGTACTGTTTACCTGTTCTAATGTAGTTCTAAAACTCAGATTTGGCTCAAGACTCACCATAGTTGTGAGCTGAGTGACTCGGTAAGACTTGCCTGATTATTGAAACATATCCAATAAAGAAAGCCATTGTGAGTCTTGGACCTGTCTTTAAATCTCAGCTACTATTCTGTTGTTACGTACAAGCTGTAGACAATGTTGGTGTCTGGCATGGATGCCTTGCCTGACACGGTTCCCATGACAAATCCTTGACAATTTGTCATGACATGGCCGTACAGCATGGATATACCAACATGTACAAATGGAATACCTATCCATAAAATTAAAATTTCAATTAACATGTTAATTTTGCAAAATTAGAGCTTGTGATTACTATCATGCAATGCTTTGTTTGTTCCAGTTCATTTAGTTGCGATAGGTCATGTATAACTTGGCGAGTGATGCAATTACAATGCAATTCATGATGTAAATTATGGTTTAAAACATTTTTATCATTTATTAAATTAGTTTATATAATATTGATACATTTGTGTGAAGGACAGTATGGTCTTTATTCCATTTTTTTCCCCTTTATCCACTGCTTTATTATTTATTTATCCGAGGTAAAACAACTTGTTTGGACATAAAAAAATAGCATACAAAATATACTTGGTATGGACCTTGGCAACTTAACGTCTTTAAAAATGAAACCTGGTAGGTTTTGGGGTAGGTTAAAGCTTCTGAAATGTTCCAGGGAGGAGTGAAATTTTAGTGCAATTGAAAATGAATGAGTTCCCTTTGTGACATGTCAGGACACTACTTTTCTTGTGATATGCATGCCATTGCCACATTGATTCTCCCTGTTACAGGTTCTGGCGTAATTGATGGACTTATGGATGTTCTTTGGGGAATACTGGACTTGGAGCAACCTGACACACAAACTATCAACAACATTGTCATACCCTCTGTGGAGCTGATCTATTGCTATGCAGAATGCTTGGCTTTAAATGGAAGCAATGCATCTGCAAAATCTGTCGCACCTGCTGTTCTATTGCTCAAGAAACTTCTTTTTGCTCCTTACGAGGCTGTACAGACTTCAAGCAGGTGTTTAATTTGTATCCAATTTGTTTGATTGTAGTATTTTAACTAAGGGTGCGGTTTGTATAGAGCCTATGCTCTAAACAATCAAATTAGAGCCTACCTTCAAATAGTGTCGAAAAGTGTGGTTTCAATACTGGAAATCTTTGTGCTAGCCAAATATATTTTCATCTTTATTTATAAAGTTTAAAGCTTCAAAAATAGTGTAGATTGACATATCTACGAAAACTTGAAAATATTGAAAATTGACGGTCCAAAAATGCGTTACAAAATACACTATTTCCAAAACTTGAAATCCATTTTTTTCTCATGTCCATACATCTTGATGTCGAGATGATCAATTTGAGGCTATTTGGGTATCAAAACAACCTCTTCTAGTGAAATTTTTGAGGTAGGCTCTAATTTGACTGTTTAGAACCTTGGCTCTATATAAACTTTTCCCTTTAACTAAACCTTGAGGCATTAACTGTTTTCATCTTTTTCATTTTCTTCCTCTCCCCTTTTTTCAGCTTGGCTATATCATCTAGGCTGCTCCAGGTTCCATTTCCAAAGCAGACAATGTTGGCCACTGATGATGTTGTGGAGAGTAGTGCATCAGCCCCTGTAGCTTCTGATCCAACCAATGCAAATGGTGGGAACACACAAATCATGCTTGAAGAAGACTCTACCACGTCATCTGTTCAATATTGCTGTGATGGTTGCTCCACTGTTCCTATACTTCGACGAAGATGGCATTGTAATGTTTGCCCTGACTTCGATCTATGTGAAGCTTGCTTTGAAGTAATGGATGTAGATAGGCTTCCCCCACCACATTCTAGAGATCACCCTATGTCTGCAATTCCTATTGAAATTGATTCTCTTGGGGAAGATGGGAACGAAATTCACTTTGCAATTGATGAACTAAGCGATCCAAGTCTACTTCATGGCACTACCAATAACAATGTGCAAAATTCACCTCCGTCCGTTCATCAATTGGAGCATAACGAATCTGGAGAGTTCCCTGCTTCTCTAATTGATCAGAGAATAGTGACAATTTCAGCTGCAAAGAGAGCCGTGAATTCATTGTTACTTGGCGAGCTGATAGAGCAGCTGAAAGGGTGGATGGGAACAACTTCTGGTGCTCGTGCTATACCCATTATGCAACTGTTCTACAGGTTGTCATCTGCAGTGGGTGGACCTTTCATGGATAGCTCAAAGCCTGAAAATTTGGATTTAGAGAAATTTGTGAGGTGGTTTTTGGATGAGATCAACTTGAGTAAACCTCTTATACTTAAAATGCGTTCATCATTTGGGGAAGTCGTTATCCTTGTGTTCATGTTCTTCACCTTGATGCTTCGAAACTGGCACCAGCCTGGCAGTGACAGTTCTCTACCAAAATCGGGGGCGACTTCTGAGACACAAGATAAATCTGTTTCCCAATTGGCATCATGCCCCTCGACTATGGGTTCCTCATCTGCAAATGATGATCAAGACAAAAGTGAGTTTGCTTCTCAGCTGGTTCGAGCTTGTTCTGCTCTTAGGCAGCAGCCTTTTATCAACTACCTTATGGATATACTACAACAGCTGATGCATATTTTTAAATCACCTTCTTCAAATCTTGACCCTGGGCATGGATTATCATCTGGGTCGGGTTGTGGTGCATTGCTCACTATTCGTAAAGAATTGCCAGCTGGGAACTTTTCTCCTTTCTTCTCAGATTCATATGCCAAAGCCCATAGGTCAGATTTTTTTGCCGATTATCACAGGCTTCTGTTAGAGAATACTTTTCGTTTGGTATATGGCTTGGTTAGGCCTGAAAAAGTAGAAAAATCTGGGGAAAAGGAGAACGTCTACAAGGCTCCCATCAACAAGGATTTAAAACTAGACGGTTATCAAGATGTCCTTTGTAGCTACATCAGCAATCCTCACACAACATTTGTGAGGCGGTATGCGAGGAGGCTTTTCCTGCATTTGTGTGGAAGCAAAACCCACTATTACAGTGTAAGAGATGCATGGCAGCTATCAAGTGAAATCAAGAAACTCTTCAAGCTTGTAAATAAATCTGGTGGTTTTCAGAACCCTCTCCTATATGAGAGAATTGTGAAACTGGTTAAGTGCTTGTCTGTGATATCTGAGTTAGCAGGGGCTAGACCAAGAAACTGGCAAAAATATTGCTCGAGGCATGGAGATGTTCTCCCCTTCTTGCTGAATGGTGTCTTCGTTTTTGGTGAGGAGTCTGTCATCCAAGCTCTTAAACTTTTGCGCTTGGCATTTCATACAGGGAAGGATACAGGCCAAGCTCAACAGAAAGGAGAGGTGGGAGATGCGGCAACGGGCTCTAACAAAGCTGGAACACAATCTTCAGATTCAAAGAAGAAAAAGAAATCAGAAGAAGGAAGTGAAGCTAGCTCTGAGAAATCTTATATTGACATGGAACAGTCAGTTGAAATCTTCACTGACAAGGATGGGAAGGTCCTACAGAGCTTTATTGATTCATTTTTGCTGGAATGGAACTCATCGGCTGTTCGCCTTGAGGCCAAATGTGTTCTTTATGGTGCTTGGCATCATGGCAAACGATCTTTTCAGGAGACGCTGCTGAAGGAACTTCTTCAGAAAATGCATTGTCTCCCCATGTATGGCCAAAATATCACGGAGTTCACAGAGCTCCTGACATCTTTACTGGGAAAGGGAGCTCCTGATAATGGTCTGAAACTCCAGGAAACAGAACTTGCAAATTCATGCTTGACTTCTGATGTATTGAAGTGTATCTTTGATACACTTCGTTCCCAGAATGAGCTTCTGGCCAATCACCCAAATGCTCGTATTTACAATACTCTGAGTGGTTTGGTTGAGTTCGACGGCTACTATCTTGAGAGTGAGCCCTGTGTTGCGTGTAGCTGTCCTGAGGTTCCTTACAGTCGCACAAAGTTGGAATGTTTGAAATCTGAGACAAAATTCACTGACAATCGCATTATAGTGAAATGTACTGGAAGTTACACAATTCAATCGGTGACCATGAATGTGCATGATGCTCGCAAGTCAAAGTCGGTGAAGGTTTTGAACTTGTATTACAACAATAGGCCTGTTGCTGATCTTTCAGAACTAAAAAATAATTGGTCTCTGTGGAAACGTGCAAAGAGTTGCCATCTTGCCTTCAATCAAACAGAGCTGAAGGTTGAATTCCCTATTCCCATAACTGCCTGCAACTTCATGATTGAACTGGACTCATTTTATGAGAATCTCCAAGCTTCTTCTCTTGAGTCCTTGCAGTGCCCTCGCTGCAGTCGTTATGTCACTGATAAGCATGGGATCTGTGGCAACTGTCATGAAAATGCCTATCAGTGCAGGCAGTGCCGTAACATAAATTATGAGAATTTGGATTCTTTCCTGTGCAATGAGTGTGGGTATAGCAAATACGGTCGTTTTGAGTTCAATTTCATGGCAAAGCCAAGTTTCACTTTTGATAGCATGGAGAATGATGAGGACATGAAGAAAGGGCTCATCGCAATTGAATCAGAATCAGAAAATGCTCATAGGAGATATCAACAACTTCTGGGATTTAAGAAACCTTTGCTTAAGCTTGTATCTAGCATCGGTGAGAGCGAAATGGATTCTCAACAGAAAGATACAGTTCAGCAGATGATGGTCTCCTTGCCCAGTCCTTCTTGTAAAATAAACAGGAAGATTGCTCTTCTTGGTGTTTTGTATGGTGAGAAGTGCAAAGCTGCTTTTGATTCAGTGAGCAAGAGTGTCCAGACTCTCCAGGGCCTTCGTCGGGTTTTGATGAACTATTTGCACCAGAAGCATTCAGATGATATGATGGCCTCATCGAGATTTGCAGTTCTTAGGTCTCCAAATCATTGTTATGGATGTGCCACTACATTTGTTACCCAATGTTTGGAACTGTTGCATGTGTTGTCAAAATACCCACATGTTAAGAAAGAGCTTGTTGGTACTGGCATATTGTCTGAGTTGTTTGAAAACAATATTCATCAGGGCCCCAAGACGGCTCGCATTCAGGCAAGAGCTGTTCTTTGTGCATTTTCAGAGGGTGATGCAAGTGCAGTGACTGAGTTAAACAATCTGATAAGAAAGAAGGTCACATATTGCCTAGAGCACCATCGTTCTATGGATATTGCCTTGGCGACTCGTGAGGAGTTGCTATTACTTTCTGAAACTTGTGCTGTTGCAGATGAGTTCTGGGAAGCTAGATTGCGAGTTGCTTTTCAGCTGTTATTCTCTTCGATCAAGTTGGGTGCCCGGCATCCTTCTATTTCTGAGAACATTATTTTACCATGCTTGAAAATGGTATCTCAGGCTTGCACCCCTCCAAAATCTGAATCAGTTGATAAGGAGCAAATGTCGGGGAAAACCACATCAGTTCCACCGACAAAGGATGACAGTAGTGGAGATTCACACTCATCTATAAGTGGCCTTGCTAATGGGAATAAGTCACAGTCTGTATCATCAGAAAAGCACTTGGATAGCTACAGGAAAGGGCAGAATATTCAGTTAGTAAGCTATTCCGAGTGGGAAAAAGGAGCCTCTTATCTTGACTTCGTGAGGAGGCAATACAAAGTCTCGCCGGCAGTCAAACCTATTCAGAAGTCTCGAAAAGACTCCCAAAGGGTCGATTATCTTGCTCTTAAATATGTCCTGAGATGGAAAAGGCGTGCTTGTAAAGGAACGCTTAAGAGTGCATTCTCAACATTCGAACTGGGATCATGGGTTTCTGAAATAGTCTTGAGTGCATGTTCACAGTCTATAAGGGCTGAGATGTGCACGTTAATTGGTTTGCTTTGTGCTCAGAATTCATCTAGGCGGTATAGATTTTTGAACTTACTGATGGCGCTTCTTCCGGCTACTCTTTCTGCTGGGGAAAGTTCTGCTGAGTACTTCGAACTATTTTTCAAGATGATTGAGTCAGAAGATGCAAGGTTGTTTCTCGCTGTAAAGGGATGCCTGAGTACTATATGTAGGTTGATAACTGTCGAGGTGGGAAATGTGGAGTCACAAGAAAGGAGCCTACATATAGACATATCACAGGGCTTTATTCTACACAAGCTCATTGAACTTCTCAGCAAATTTCTTGAAGTGGCAAATATTCGAGCAAGGTTAGTCAAATTTTCCTGTAGTTCCCATCTCATGTTGAAGTCATTGAATTGATTGAAGTTTTGGCAATTATTTGTTAAAATGGGGTTAGACCCTATGCTGAAATGTGAATGCAGCTGATGGCAGGCATCTGATTGTCAGCCACTTTATCATCAGTTTTGGCCGTAATGGCCATAATTGAACCAAGATATGAACTTGGCTTTCTCATCCTTTTTATGACAATGGTGAATTTTCCTTCTTCATTTGAATCTAGGATTTGGGTGAAGTTCAGTCAAGAATCTGAAGAGATTCTGTAGTTGCCCTTTGATTTTCCCTTTAACTTAAATTCTTAATAGAAAATGAGTCTGAAATCTAATTTCAGCTTCAGCTCTGGGTTCTGGAGTTGAAGTTTGAAATGAAATCTTGGGTTTTTATGTTGCTTACTTTCTGTTGATGGTGCAAATAGGTTCATGCGAGATGAGCTTCTGTCTCAAGTATTGGAGGCTCTTCTTGTCATCCGGGGTCTTGTAGTACAAAAAACAAAATTGATAAGTGATTGCAATCGGCTATTGAAGGATCTCTTGGACAGTCTTCTGCTTGAGAGCAGTGAAAACAAGCGCCATTTCATACGAGCCTGCATTTCTGGTTTACAGATCCATGGAGAAGAAAGAAAGGGACGAACATCTCTGGTATGGGGATAGATAAGCAGTAGTCTTTGTTTACTCTATTACAATGACTTAAAACTCCTGTTCCAGGATTTTTGTAAACTCCTTGTTCCCACGTTAAAAAATTTCTTGTGATCAAGCTTGTTATCAGCTGTGATATTGTTGACGATTCAAGTTAAACTGAAGTATTGGTTTGTATTAGTTTCTCTTTGTAGCTTGGGTTTCTTGAAGATAATATTGTGCATTCTGATGCTTCTTGGGAGTTGTACATAACGTACTGTCTTTATATTCGTCCTTCTCATGGCAGTTTTCTACTATGAATGCAGTTTATTTTGGAGCAGCTTTGCAACATGATATGCCCATCAAAGCCGGAGCCAGTCTATTTATTAATACTGAACAAAGCACATACTCAGGAGGAGTTCATCCGGGGTTCAATGACTAAGAATCCTTACTCCAGTTCAGAGATTGGTCCATTGATGCGTGATGTCAAGAACAAAATTTGCCATCAGTTGGACTTGTTAGGTCTCCTTGAGGATGACTATGGTATGGAATTGCTTGTGGGTGGCAATATAATATCTCTGGATCTCAGCATTTCTCAAGTTTATGAGCAGGTCTGGAAGAAATCACATAGTCAATCACCAACTCTCAGTACTGGCTTGCTATCTGGTGGTGGATTTAATTCCAATAGAGATTGCCCACCTATGACAGTGACTTACAGGCTTCAGGTCTGTTGTTCATAATTTGTTGTGTACGGATCTTACTTTCTTGTAGAAATTGAAATCTCTTTCAGACTTGGGAAAATTGATAATTAAATTCTCATAGATGTTCATTTTCTGCTCTAAGTTTATTTGAGAATTTTTTTTTGTCTTGTCTATACGCTCTGGATTGCCTTTATTATCATTGCGTAACAATGCTCTATCGATGGCATTCTTCTTCCACTAAGGCTCACTTGTTCATTTTTAGTTGTTAAAAGACCTGCCTCTGTATCTGATTTTTTGGTGGTCACTGACATTTACAGGGATTAGATGGTGAGGCTACAGAGCCTATGATCAAGGAATTGGATGAGGATAGGGAGGAATCACAGGACCCTGAAGTTGAGTTTGCTATAGCTGGTGCTGTGCGGGAGTGTGGTGGACTGGAAATAATTTTGAGCATGATCCAGGTATGTAATGTTATTGTCATGTTATTTTTTCTTGAATTTCTCGACAGTCTTAGGCATACGCTTCCGCAATATTTGAGCAACAAAAGATATATCTCCTTGGTTTTCTGTCTCTGCTTTGTCTTAAAAAATAATATGTTAAGAGTCGATCCTTGACTAGTATCGGACCATAGAAATGATAGACCTGTTTGATTCATTTTTCAGAAAAGCAAATATTCCTCCAATTATCTGAATCTAAGACACCATAGCCTTTTTCTGAACGAAGCTGTGTATTGAATTTCATGCAATCAGGAGTTTTTTGTATTTCCTCTGTCTTTGACTCCTGGATCTTAATTGATATTCTGCTTATGATTCTTCTCCTTCTTTAAGGAATTATCTTTTTTTGTGGATTCGGGACATATGATTATTAGCTTCAGCATAGGAAGTTTCATTCCTCCTACTTATGCACTTGTTGTTTGAATTGTTGTATGATGATAGCGGCTGAGGGACGACGAGCTCAAGTCTAATCAAGAGGAGCTGGGATCAGTTCTCAATCTCCTCATGTATTGCTGCAAGATTCGGGAGAACAGGCGTGCCTTATTAAAGCTAGGTGCACTGGGCCTCCTCTTGGAGACAGCTAGGCGTGCCTTCTTTGTCGATGCTGTGGAGCCTGCAGAAGGCATACTCCTGATTGTTGAGAGCTTGACGATGGAGGCTAATGAGAGTGACATTGGCATCTCAGAGAGTGTGCTTGCTGCTTCCAATGAAGGCACAAGCTCGGGGGCCGGTGAGCAAGCAAGAAGGATAGTCTTGATGTTCTTAGAGCGGCTTTCCCACCCTTCTGGCCTCAAAAAATCAGCAAAGCAGCAACGAAACAATGAGATGGTGGCTCGAATACTTCCCTGTCTCACATATGGAGAACAAGCTGCCATGGAAGTGCTGATACAACACTTTGAGCCTCATTTGCAAAATTGGGGAGAGTTTGATAGGCTTCAGAAGGAGCACCAAGACAACCCTAAAGATGAGAGCTTGGCTGAGAAAGCAGCTGCTCAGAGGTTTGCTGTAGAGAACTTTGTGAGAGTATCTGAGTCACTTAAAACGAGCTCGTCTGGAGAGAGACTCATGGACATGATTCTAGAGAGAGGGATTACTGAATTAGCTGTCGACCATCTTAGAGAGAGATTTTCCATTGTTGGGCAGGATGATTTCAAGTCTAGTTTGGAGTGGGCAAGTGGTTTGAAGCTACCATCTGTTCCAATAATTTTGTCGATGTTCAAGGGGCTTGCAGTAGGCCATTTGAGGACACAAAGGTGCATCGAAAAGGGCGGTATCTTGCCATTGTTTCATGCTCTTGAGGGAGTTTCAGCGGAGAATGAGATTGGCGCAAGAGCCGAGAACTTGCTTGATACGCTAGCTGACAAGGAGGGGAAGGGGGATGGATACCTTGGGGAAGCAGTGCACAAGCTAAGGCATGCAACGCGGGATGAGATGCGGCGACGGGCTCTGAAAAAGCGAGAGGAACTATTGCAGGTACTTAAATTTTCTTCTATATGAATTCATTATGGGTGGCAAAAATAGCCAGTGCATGACTTTAGATGAATATTTTCATGAAAATACTTGTATTTCTTATGTTTGAAATCTTAATTCCCTTAAACGAGATACCAGAGTTCAAAACATGCTTCACCAAATAAAATTGCTTCGAATATATTTGCATTTACTTGACAATTTGTACTCCCATCATCAAACTTCTATAGAATCATTCAAATTATACTTAAAAATGCCAGTCTTTTTTAAGTGAAATAATTTCTGAAATATTGGTCAATTTTTTTTGTTTTTGTTTTGAAGGATGTTACTTGATGTTGATCACTCATCAAAATAAAAAATTTAGAAAATAAATGATTTATTTTTATTTGTAAGAGCAGTTGACATTATAAAATAAGACCTATTGGATCTAGATTTTTTTTGGGGAAATATCCTTGTACCATTAATTTTTGGTTTTCATATCTCAATAGACCCAAATATTCAAAATATATCTCCTAACCCTTTTACTAACTTCACCCACTTTTTAACTATTTTTTTAGCACGAACAAATATAAAAAAAACATGCTCATTCTAAACCCTTCCTATCTTTACGTGATATATTCCCCCCAAATTTCTCTCTCTTTAACATTCACCCTCTTTGTCTCTCTAACGGGGGAGAGAGTGTGAGAGACACGGAGGGGTGAGAGAGTAGGAAAATAGGTAGGGAGAGATTTAGGGGAAAATCACGTGAAGAGAGAGAAATGATGGTGTTTAGAAATGATTTGTCTTTTTTATGTTTGTTTGAGGCAAAAAAATAGGTTTAAAGGGGATAAAGTTAGCTTAGGGAATTAAAAGATATAAAATTTAGAATTTTTATGACCCAATATATGTTTTTACACCTTGGGTCTATTGAGATATAAAACTTAAAAATGGGGGGTATGGAGATATTTTCCCTTTTTTTTTTATTAACTTTTGTTTTGAAATGTAATTATTGGATCTAGAATTTCATTAAAACTGCTGCATTATGACCAAGTCCTTGGTTCCTGCCAAAATATTCAAGTTCCTACCTTTGTGAGGGTCAAATGACCTTGAACTTTTGAAAAAATCATAGACATGCATTCATTTTTGTGGCTGATATCCTATATATTTCCAAAAACAGAGATTTTTATTGAACTTTTGTTGAGCAAGTTTTGGGTTGCATATCATTTCCAGCTAAATTATTATATCTGAAAGAGTAAGAAGGGGTAGGGACTTTTGAATCTTCTCTCTTTTAAAGCTTTTTTCTTTCCATTGTTTTATGTGGGGCACTTTACAATACCACTTGGTCAATTGTTGAAAGAGAATTTGGGATATCACCTTATTTCGTGATGGCAAGTCTTTATCATATTGAGATGGAACGTCACATACAGTAGTTAAAAGGGGCACCCACCATTCATTCTCTATGGCGGATGGTGGAGATTAACTTTACATTGGTTAATTTCCTAGTGGGTGCCACTGCAATAGCCTCCACCATTTGATGGCTGCTCCTTTGGACTACAATTCAGTATACTCTCTTTGGATCAATGTGTACTTTCCTTTTCTTTATATCCATTTGACACATGCTTTTAACTTTTTATCCTCTCCCCTTAGGGTCTTGGGATGCGACAGGAGCTAGCATCTGATGGCGGAGAGCGCATTGTTGTTACCCAGCCAGCCATTGAGGGCCTAGATGAAGTCGAAGAGGAGGAAGGTGGCCTTGCTTGCATGGTGTGTAGAGAAGGATATACACTCCGGCCCAATGATATGCTTGGTGCCTACTCTTATTGCAAGAGGGTTAACTTAGGGGGTGGTGAATACGTATACACAACAGTTAGCCACTTCAATGTCATCCATTTTCAGTGTCACCAAGAGGCCAAACGGGCAGATGCAGCACTCAAAAACCCTAAAAAGGAGTGGGAAGGTGCGGCACTCCGAAATAACAAGACTCTGTGTAATTGCATCTTTCCACTTAGGGGGCCTGCTGTGCCTATTTTGCAATATAGTCGTTGTGTTGATCAGTATTGGGATAACCTTGGCTCACTTGGGCGGGCTGATGGTAGCAGGCTGCGGCTTCTCACTTATGACGTTGTACTGGTATGTTCACTTTCTCACTAGCCTCTGTATTTCTTTATTTAAAATTTGAGAGGAAGCACTTATCATTGAGGCACTCACTCGTTTGCTTCTTTGTTTCTACTCCCATTTGGCTGCCTAACGCCCCCTCCCTCCAAAAAAACAAGAAAAAAAGACCAAATTAGGCTGCCTGTCTCTTGGTTCATTTCTTACATGATGTAGAAGAATTACATATTGAGAACTTGAAGACTTCTGATTTACCCAATTGTTAGTTTTGTTGAATTTTCATCGCAGTATTTTAATCACTTATAGTATGGTAGTTTTCTTGTGAAATTTGAGGTGGATCACTCAGTGATCCTAGGACACCCATAATTTCTTCGTTTGTTGTGTTGCTCTCTTCCCATTAGCCTGCCTTTTCTCTTTTGATTTGTAACATTGTCAATTTCCTGTGAAAATTAAAATGGGCTGTTTGTTTTTTCATACTTTCCTATGGACCCACATATTTCTTCAATTAGCCTGCTCATGAGCTTTGTTGTGTGTGTGTGCATGAGAGAGAGAAACTATGCTCACACCTACATCCTCTTGCAGATGCTGGCTCGCTTCGCAACGGGTGCCTCTTTCAGTGCCGACAGCAAGGGTGGGGGGCGCGATAGCAACTCTCGCCTCCTTCCTTTCATGCTCCAGATGAGCTGCCACCTCCTCGACCAACCTGGATCTACTCAACGATGTTCCCTTTCCAAATCCATCTCTTCCTATCTCTCTCAAAACCCATCTCAATCACAATTGGACCCACCAAAAACCCCTCCTACCCCTAAAACGCCTTCTCCCCAAAGTGATGAAACAGTCCAATTCATGATGGTTAATTCCCTCCTTGCTGAACCTTACGATGTGTGGGCCCATCATCGGCTTGCCTTTCTCCAACGCGGGCTCCACCATGCCTATGCCCAATACAAGCAAGGCAGATCTACCCACTTCCGCCTCTCACCCGAATCCAGCCATCGAAAAGATGATCCAGCGATGCCTGGCTCCAGTAGTGGTGAGGACCTCTTCGCAATAGTGCAACCAATGCTTGTATATACAGGTCTCGTTGAGCAGTTACAAAGATTCTTTAAGCCCACAGAGGTTTCCGGAAAGCAGGAATCAGGTGCCGGGAAACCTGAAGCTGGAAAAGAGGTGGAGGAGTTGGAGGGGTGGGAGATGGCGATGAGGGAGAAGCTGCTCAATGTTAGAGAGATGGTGGGTTTCTCTAAAGAAGTGTTGGGGTGGCTCGAGGAAATGCAAGGGGCTGAGGATTTGCAAAAGGCTTTTGATGTGGCTGGAATTTTGGTGGATGCTCTTTCTGGTGGGTTTTCAAGTGTTGAGGAGTTTGTTCGGGCTTCCATTGCTACCTGAAATTAGCATGTAAGTCGAGAAGTTGTGAATGGATGCCAGAAAATAGTGCCGAGAACTCAAGTTGTGGAGACAGGGAGATAGAGAAGAGATGAGGAATGGCATGGAGCTATATGTTGTTGGGGGGTTTTACTGATTGTGCTTTGGCTGCTTTTACTGAACCTGGAGGATAATTGTTCAGAGATGGGAGTTTCTCTGTTATAAAGGTTTCTTTTTCTCTCTGCCTTGAAATATCTCATCTATGAACTCTTTCCTCTCTCACATTGCCTGACCTTTATTATTGCACTGCCATTCCCATCTTCTTCAGTTTCCGGGGGGTGGAGTCGGGACGGTATACGAAATGGAAAATTCATTCTCACATTATGGGGGTTTGAGCTGGTTTGAGTTTGCCAAGGAGTTGGCAGTTTATTGCATTGGAAAAGAAGAGTAGGTTTTTGGGATCTAGGGTTTTATGCTTGGCTTTCTGGAGGATTTGGTTGAGATTTTTATGGTCTTGTAAGTTTGTACATGTGCCTCTTTTATCTTTTTCTCTGATTTGACTTGCAAATGTATTAGTATTTGCCCCAAAAGTTTATAATTTGGAAGGGGCCAACTCTGTGCAGGCTTACGGTTTGCCCGTTTAATGTATTATGGACAAATCTCTCTCTCTCTC